TGTCATCTTCCAGAAGCTTTGCAGCCCACTCTGCGCTTAGGCCTGCGCTCCAGTTCGGGCCAGCTCTTCCGAAGTGTGGTGGCTGGCTCTGGGCTCTTGGCTTCTGTACGTGGTGCCCAGCTGTTGAGCACAATTTGTCAGAGACTGTCTGCTCCCTTGTATCGCTTTTGCCCCTTTGTCAGGGAGCAGCTGACTGTATCATATGAGTCTGATTCTGGACTCTGTTCTCTTCCATCACCTCACTTGTTAGCCCCACAGTCTTTTTCTGGCTGCGTTGGGCCTGCAGTATCGTTCACTGTGGTGCCTGGGTCTGCAGTTGCGGCGCTCAGGCTTGCTTGCTGTGCAGCATGTGGGACCTACGTCCCCTGGCCGGGGTGGAGCCCGAGTCCCCTGAACTGCAGGGTGAACTCTTACCCACTGGACGGCCGGGGACGTTCCAGCGCCGCCTGTCTTGATTGCCGTAGCGTGCCAGCGCGTCTTGAGGCCGGAGCGTCAGTCCTCTGGCCTTGTTCTCTGCAGCGTCGTGTGGGCTTCCTGGGTCTCTTGTCTCCTGTCCTTATAAACTTCAGATTCAGTTCGTCAGTACCCAGGAAACGACTTGATAGGAATTTGATGAGGATTGAACTGAATCTACAAATTGAGGTGGGAAGATCTGATACCTTGACAGTGTTGAACAGTCCTACCCAGATGTGAACTCTCTCTCCATTTCTCTCTCCAGCGGTTTGTAGTTTTCCTCATGTAGATCTTGTACATACTTTGTAAAACGCATCTGTAGGTATTTCACTTTGGAGGAGCTAATGTAAATGGTATTGGGATTTTAATTTCAAATCCCAAACGTATGTCTTGGCCTATAATTTTGTGCGAATGGTCCCTGACCCCGGACAATATGACTTTTAAGATGCTTTGGCTTTAAAATGGTGCAAAAACAGTGAATATCCAGTAGAAACCGAGCTTTGAATTTTGATCTCCTCCTGGACTAGCGACGTGCAGTCTGCTGCCCTCCCGGGTTGCTGGCCATCAGCAGTGGGCCTCGGCTCCCAGCCAGCTACTCGATCACCAGGGTAAACAGCTGATGCACCAGATTTCCCTGGTGGCTCAGTAAAGACTCTGCCTGCCAATGCCGGGGGCATGGGTTCAGTCCCTGATCTGGGAAGATCCCACATGCCTGTGGGGTCACAGCTATTGAGCCTGTGCTCTGGAGCCTGGGAGCCGCCCGCGCACTGCAGCTGGAGAGCAGCCCCCACTCGCCGCAACTAGAGAAAAGCCCGTGCGCCAGTGAAGGCCCAGCACAGCCGCAAATGGATAAGTAAACACACAGAGCAGCGGCTCACTAAAAACCTGACCCACCTGCAGCGACTCTGCGCCCACACGAGCGTGGTTTTCCACTTTCCGCATTCAGCACATGATGCGAGTTTATAAAGCAGGATTAGTTGTAAAGTAGGAGAGTCAACACTTAGTTATAAAGCAGGGTTGGTGTTAGATGGATTTTCCAACTGTAGGCTAACATATTCTAAGGTACACCTGGCTAAGTTAGGATGTTTGGTAGGTGAGCTGTGTTAAATACATCTTTCAACTTAATGGTATTTTCAGCTTAAGAAGGCTTTATAATCCTGTCATAAGTTGAAGAAGATCTGTGTCTATTTTCTTCCTTTTTCTTGCTTTATCGCATCAGCGGGGACTTCCAGTTCGATGCTGAAAGAGTGATGAGAGGGGACATGCTTGCATTGCACCTCATCTTAACAGGAAGACTTCAAGTTTCTCACCCTTAAGTCTGATACTAACTGTGCGCTTTCTAAGTAGCTGTTTTCTGCCAAGTTGAGGACGTGCCCCTCTATTCCTAGTTGACTGAGAGTTTTTGTCATGAATGGATGTTAGACTTTGTCCAGTGCTTTTTCTGCATTGACATGATATGATGCTGATAAATGATCATATGATTTTTCTTTTTTAGTCTGTTGATGTGATCAATTACGTTATTTGATTTTGTATAGTTGAACCAGCCTCACATACATGTGATCAACTTGGTTGTGGTATATGATTCTTTATGCTTCTGTACATTGAATTTGCTAATATTTTGTTAACAGTTTTTAAAATCTATGTTCATGAGAGATACTGACCTATGGTTTTCTTGTAGTGACTTTGGTTCAGGTATTAGGGTATGCTGTCCTCTTCTAGTTTCCTAAGGTGAAATCTGATTTCAGATATTTTTTCTCTTCTGATAAATGCATTCTGTGTTACAAATTTCCTCTGAACACTGCTTGTTGGGGTCCTTTAATGGACTGGAACCTGGTGGTCCAGAGTTGACGATGAGAGAGTGAAAGAAGGAAAGAGGCTAATATTCCCTGGGTTACGCAGCCGGCCTTCGTGCTCCAGGGAATCAGCCAGAAATAGAGAGAGAGAGAGAGAGAGAGAGAGACACGGGGACCCAAGCTCTGATGGAAGAAGGGTGCTTTACTGAATTCTGTAAGAGTGTATATACCGGTAGCTTCTTTAGATAAAGATCAAGAGACCAGACTTTACAAGTTTACCAAGGAAGCAAGGAGCGATAGCGGCCATAAGGCCAAGAGGCGATCATATCAAAAGAGGGCCATAAATAGTTACTTTTCACCTTATGGATTCCTCAGCCCCGGGAGAGGCTTGCCTCTCCTCTTAATTCCTGAATGTTCAGGAATTAATAAGGAGCCAGAGGATTCAGGACAGATCCAAAACAGCACACAGGAGGCCTCCTGTTGAATGCTTCCTGACAACTGCCTTTGCTGCATCCCATAAATGTTGATAAGTTGTGTTTTCATTCTCATTTAGTTCGAAGTATTTAAAATTTTTTCTTGAGATGCCTTCTTTGGCCAGGGTCTTATTTAGAAATGTGTTATTTAACCTCCGTGTGTTTGGGGGATATTCCAGTTGTCTTTCTGTTGTAGGCCTCTAGTTTAATTTAACTGTGATCTGATCGCACACACCATATGATTTCTGTTCCTCTTGAGTGTCTCTGGGTGTGTTTGATGGCGCGGCGTCTGCTCCACGTGACTGGAGGGGACGTGTCTTCCTGCTGTTGCTGGGTGAAGCAGCCCCTTCATAGCTGTCAGTTGCGGGCGAAGCAGTCCCTTCACAGCTGTCAGTAGTCAGTTGCGGGCGAAGCAGTCCCTTCATAGCTGTCAGTTGCGGGTGAAGCAGCCCCTTCATAGCTGTCAGTTGTCAGTTGCGGGTGAAGCAGCCCCTTCATAGCTGTCAGCTGTCAGTTGTGGGTGAAGCAGCCCCTTCATAGCTGTCAGTCGCATCCGATCGATTGGCGGTGGTGCTGAGCCCAGCCGCTCCTTCTGAGTCTCTGCCTGCTGGATCTGCCCACTGACGTCTCCGTCTGCGACACCGGATTCACCTGTTCCTCCTGTCGTTCTGTCGATGTTTGCCTCGCTGTGTTTGATGCTCTGTCGTGAGGTGCGTGCATATCGAGGGTTGCTGTGTCTCTGGAGAATCGCCCCTCTATCATCACGTGACGCTCTTCTGTACCCTCCCTTACGGATCCACCAGGAGTGGTTGACTCCTCATTTTGTGGGGTGGCGGCTTTCACACCTTGGGAGGCAGGGCTGGAACCTGAGTCCCTCTTTCACCAGCCGCTGCCCCATCTCTGTTACCCGCTTCCTTCTTTTCTCTTTCTCTGTTCCTTTTTTTCTCACCACTTAGGAGTTTAGCTCATTTTCTGGTTTAAGCCTTTAAGGCCATAAATTTTCCTCTAAGTAAAGTTTTTGCTGCTTCCACCTATGTTAACATTATTCTTCTGCTTCTCAATGGGTTTTTACTTCCCCTTTGATTTTGTGTTTTGAAACACATGAATTATCTAGGTGTTCATTTGATTGAGACCTGCTTCCTCTGCTCTGTCTTGTTCTGTGTTGATCCTGCGGGCAGCGGTGGGCTTTCTGCCCCTGCATGTGGGGCAGGCCCAGAACTCACTTCCAGCTGCAGCCTGACAGCCCCTGCCTCCCTGGAGCCCTGCCTCCTCTGCCCGCCCGCCATAGGCACCAGCTGGGTCCTGGGAGGTTCCCCAGTAGCTCCGCTCTGTCTGGGGTCTGCTCCGGGGCTTCCCCGCCCGTCCCTGCCTCCCTGGAGCCCTGCCTCCTCTGCCCGCCCGCCGTAGGCACCAGCTGAGTCCTGGGAGGTTCCCCAGTAGCTCCACTCTGTCTGGGGGCTGCTCCGGGCTTCCCCGCCCACCCGTTCCTCCCTGGAGCCCTGCCTCCTCTGCCCGCCCGCCGTAGGCACCAGCTGAGTCCTGGGAGGTTCCCCAGTAGCTCCGCTCTGTCTGGGGGCTGCTCCGGGGCTGCGCCGCCCGTCTCTGCCCTCCAGGCTGCCTGCGCCCTTCCTCCCGCCTTGTCCTCTGCCTGTGTCCCCGTCAGTGGACCACAGACCTCTGCCTGCCTGTCCGCACACCCGTCGCCGCTCCAGCTAAGGAGCTGAAGCCCTGGATCCTCCAGGGCTTCCGGGGCTTCTGGGCCGCTGGGGTTCAGGCGCAGCCCTGATGCTGTCTCATTGCATCTCAGATGGCTGTTTCTGGGTGTGACATGAGGACCGCAGTGACAGGACATGACTCGTTCCAATGCCGCACCATTGTGGTCATGACGTGGGGCCTTCAGCTGATGGCGTGTGCCCGGCGGGGCGGCCTGGGCACGGAGGCCTGCCTCTGGACCACGGCTCCGTCCGCTGCTCTGAGCCTCCCCCAGAGCAGGCGTCCAGGCCGAGGGTGACCACACCACATGCCCTCCCGCCCTGCCCCAGGAAGCCCCACCGCGCCGCCGGGCCTCCCCAGGCCCACCCTGACCCCCCGGGCACGCGGTCAGAGCTCTAGCCTCTGGACGGCCAGGCCATCCGTGGGAGCTCTGGGTCTCCTCCCAGGTCGGGTGCTGGCCGTGCACGGTGTCTGTACGCACGAGGCGGAGATGGACACGCGTACACCACACCCGCCATCAGCCCTGGAACTTGCACGCGGGTGCACACATCCGCTTCCTTTTCCTCAGGCGTTGCTGGAAGAAGCAAAGGATGTGCTTTCTGACTGGTTGGATTCCTTGCACGGCAGTGAGGTGACGGACAATTCTATTTTCTCCGAACTGCCCAAATTCTGGGAGGCGGAGTTCCACAAAGACATGGAGGCCCTGAACGTAAGTGCTGCCGGCGGTCTTGACCTCGCTCTCTTGGGCTGGGGGCCCCGTGACCAAAGGCCTCACGGGATCCAGACCATCTTCATTGTGTGTGCAAATTCAGTTTAAAAAGGGAGTGGGGGATGGGGGGTGGGGGAGGGGCAAGGGGCACCTGGGCACCTGGGCCCCAGCGGTGCTGAGGCTTCTGGAGCCGGCCTCACCTCATCCCCAGGTCCTCCCTCCCGACGTCCTGACCCGGGTTAGTGAGTACGTGCCGGAGATCGTGGACTTTGTCCAGAAGATCCTGGACAACGGTTACGGGTGAGTGCGAGGCTCCGGGAAGATGTGCCTGGGGACGCGGCTCCGCCCGCTCGGGAGAGGGGCAGGGAGCTGCGGGGAGCTGCCCAGGGTGGTGGTGCCCCGGGCTCCCGTCTCAGAGCTGCATGGCCCGTGAGCAGCGGACGGGTCACCACGCGACTGCAGCAGTCCTGCGAGGGTGCGCGCCCCTCGTCCCTCCCTGGGTCCCTGCCTCCTCTCTCAAGGACACCAGTTGTGCTGGGTCAGGGCCCGCCCTTGAGGGCCTTGTTTTAACTTGAGCTCCTCTGTAAAGGCCCCTTTTCCAAATGCAGTCAGACTGCGAGGTGCTCGGGGTCAGGGCAGGCAGGCAGAGGTGCGGGCGGCCTGCAGGGCAGAGTCACCTGGGCAGGGGGCAGGGCACGGGCCAGGCCGCTGGGGATTGAGGGGCCCCTGTCCCAGCCCCGCTCCTCACAGCCCTGTTTGGCCCCCTCGGTGGCCGTGTTGAACAGCCTGCTGCCCAGCCCGCTGCAAAGGGCACGGAGCAGACCCCGATGGCCTCTGGGTCCTCAGGCCGGCCCGTCGGGCGGCTCGTCACGCCTTCCCCGACGACTTTGTGTTCCAGCTATGCTTCAAACGGGTCCGTGTACTTTGACACAGTCAAGTTCGCCAACAGTGAGGGGCACAGCTACGGAAAGCTGGTGCCCGAGGCCGTCGGGGATCAGAAAGCCCTGCACGAGGGGGAAGGTAAGCGGACCGGCTGGGGTCAGAGCCCGGGAGCCGTGGCCTCAGCCTGCTTGGCCGTGGGCACCTCGGTTCACAGGGACCCTGGCTTAAAAACTCCAAGGATTTTAGGAGCTTTCCACAGAGAACCCCTGAGTGTATTATGGCCTAAGGAGCAGAGCGGCGAGCAGCCACAGTGTCGTCCTGGGGGGCAGACGGGCCTCAGTGTTCAGGTTGGAGCTGACCGATCTTTCGACACCCAGAGTCCCCAGGGGCCGGGCTGGGCTGGGCTGCACTCCTGCGTGGCGGTGCGGAGAGGATACAGGCGGTGACCTACTGAGTGAGCTCCCAGCACCCTCATGGGCAGCAGGGAGCTTGGGAAGGGAAACCCCAGGGCGCTTTGATGGAAGGCAGGCAGGACACCCAGAGGGGCAGGAGACGGGCTGCTCACTTACAGACCCCAGAGGGGCCCGGAGCGGACGCCGGGTCGGGGCAGGCAAGCCCCCGTCCCAGGACAGGAGTGAGCAGCCGTCGTCTGTAAGGTGGCTGCGGGGAAACCAAGGTGGGGGACTTGGGCCACAGTCAGAGCCATCCCTGATCAGAGCCAGCTCTGATCTCGAAGCCTCGGCTCTGGGGGTGGACCAAAGCAAAAGTAATTTCTGAGTACCGGTGTTTAATCTGTGTAGTTTGGCTGTGTTCTGTGTCATGGTATGCTTCAAGTATAGCTTAGTTCTGGATGTATGAGACTTACTCAGGCCAGGGAGTGCATTTAGTTCTACACCGCAGCCCGTCGTCCGCCGGGATCACTCACGCTGATGACACGAGAGCCCTTGTGCAGAGCGTGGCAGCAGGCGACACGCTCAGAGCGCCGGCAGTCGCTCGGAGCGGCCGTGCCGTCGCCCCCGTGCGAGTGACCCGCGCGGAAAGACAGGCCCCCGCCCACCCTAACCCAGACGTGTTAAACAGAGACGCGAGGCTTCTCCTGCACCAGGCGGGGTCCTGTTTGTCTTTAATTCATAAGTGTTTTCTCACCCTTTCACACCACCAGACACACTTGTTGCTGCCCGCGTTTCTGGAAAGCTCTGGGGCCATAAAAATGTTTTCCTTGCTTTTTTTTTTTAAACCATGGTTACAGTTTTCACATTTTATTGTCCTTACATTTACATTTCACCATTAGCTACATGGAGCCTAAGTACTTACTGGATCCTTGTCCAGATTTTTGAAACATGATGCTGAATGGATGCGTGGCTGAAAGGATGTCATGTGTGACACTTTGTAGAAGATAATGAACAGTTAGGAGGTGTAGCGGGTGTCTGCTTCTGTCTGTCTGCACTCACAGCCAGGCAGACGTGGGAGTCTCTGCGTTACAGTTGCAGGATGCACCATCCAAGACTGAATGGGGGTCCCTGGTTGCTGACTGAGTCTCCACAGACTCGGGAGTCTTTGTCCTGATTTGAGGTGGCTTCGCTGTCGGGCTGCAGCTTCCTCAGTGTACAGTGTCACACGTTTGGGTCCAGTGACTCCTCCTTGAGGGCTCTGTCGTAAAGAGATTCAGTTCAGTCGCTCAGTCGCGTCTGACTCTTTGCGACCCCATGAATCGCAGCACGCCAGGCCTCCCTGTCCATCACCAACTCCCAGAGTCCACCCAAACCCATGTCCATTGAATCGGTGATGCCATCCAACCATCTCATCCTCTGTCGTCCCCTTTTCCTCCTGCCTTCAATCTTTCCCAGCATCACGGTCTTTTCAAATGAGTCAGTTCTTCGCATCAGGTGGCCGAATGAAGTATTGGAGTTTCAGCTTCAGCATCAGTCCTTCCAATGAACACCCAGGACTGATCTCTTTTAGGATGGACTGGTTGGATCTCCTTGCAGTCCAAGGGACTCTCAAGAGTTTTCTCCAACACCACAGTTCAAAAGCATCAATTCTTCAGCACTCAGCTTTCTTCATAGTCCAACTCTCACATCCATACATGACTACTGGAAAAACCATAGCCTTGACTAGACAGACCTCTGTGGACAAAGTAATGTTTCTGCTTTTTAATATGCTGTCTAGGTTGGTCATAACTTTCCTTCCAAGGAGTAAGTGTCTTTTAATTTCATGGCTGCAGTCACTGTCTGCAGTGGTTTTGGAGCCCAGAAAATAAAGTCTTTCACTGTTCCCCCATCTATTTGCCATGAAGTGATGGGACCGGATGCCATGATCTTAGTTTTCTGAATGTTGAGTTTTAAGCCAACTTTTTCACTCTCCTCTTTCACTTTCATCAAGAGGCACTTTAGTTTTTCTTCACTCTCTGCCGTAAGGGTGGTGTCATCTGCATATCTGAGGTTATTGATATTTCTTCTTGATTCCAGCTTGTGCTTCTTCCAGCCCAGCATTTCTCATGATGTACTCTGCATATAAGTTAAATAAGCAGGATGACACTATACAGCCTTGACGTACTCCTTTTCCTATTTGGAACCAGTCTGGTGTGACCTGCATATAGATTTCTCAAGAGGCAGGTCAGGTGGTCTGGTATTCCCATCCCTTTCAGAATTTTCCACAGTTTATTGTGATCCACATAGTCAAAGGCTTTGGCATAGTCAATAAAGCAGAAATAGATGTTTCTCTAGAACTGTCTTGCTTTTTCAGTGATCCAGCGGATGTTGGCAATTTGATCTCTTGTTCCTCTGCCTTTTCTAAAACCAGCTTGAACATCTGGAAGTTCATGCTTCATGTATTTCTAAAGCCTGCTTGGAGAGTTTTGAGCATTACTTTACTAGCGTGTGATATGAGTGCAATTGTGCCATAGTTTGAGCATTCTTTGGCCTTGCCTTTCTTTGGGATTGGAATGAAAACTGACCTTTTCCAGTCCTGTGGCCACTGCTGAGTTTTCCAAATTTGCTGACATATTGAGTGCAGCACTTTCACAGCATCATCTTTTAGGATTTGAAGTAGCTCAACTGGAATTCCATCACCTCCACTAGCTTTGTTCGTAGTGATGCTTCCTAAGGCCCACTTGACTTCACATTCCAGGATGTCTGGCTCTAGGTGGGTGATCATGACTCTGTGATTATCTGGGTCATGAAGATCTTTTTTGTACAGTTCTTCTGTGTATTCTTGCCACTTCTTCTTAATATCTTCTGCCTCTGTTAGGTCCATACCGTTTCTGTCCTTTATTGTGCCCATCTTTGCATGAAATGTTCCCTTGGTATCTCTAATTTTCTTGAAGACATCTCTAGTCTTTCCCATGCTGTTGTTTTTCTCGATTTCTTTCCACTGATCAGTGAGGAAGGCTTTCTTATCTCTCCTTGCTATTCTTTGGAACTCTGCATTCAGATGGATAGATCTCTCCTTTTCTCCTTTGCTTTTCTCCTTGCTTTTTCTCCTTTTCTCAGCTATTTGGAAGGTCTCCTCAGACAGCGATTTTGCCTTTTTGCATTTCTTCTTCTTGGGGACGGTCTGGATCCCTGTTTCCTGTACAGTGTCACGAACCTCCGTCCATAGTTCATCGGGCACTCTGTCAGATCTGGTCCCTTAAATCTATTTGTCACTTCTACTGTATAATTGTAAGGGATTTGATTTAGGTCATACATGAATGGTCTAGTGGTTTTCCCTACTTTCTTCAGTTTAAGTCTGAATTTGACAACAAGGAGTTCATGATCCGAGCCACAGTCAGCTCCAGTCTTGTTTTTGCTGACTGTATACAGCATCTCCATCTTTGGCTGCAAAGAATATAATCAATCTGATTTCAGTGTTGACCATCTGGTGATGTCCATGTGTAGAGTCTTCTCTTGTGTTGTTGGAAGAGGGTGTTTGCTATGACCAGTGTGTTCTCTTGGCAAAACTCTATTAGCCTTTGCCCTGCTTCTTTCTGTACTCCAAGGCCAAATTTGCCTGTTACTCTAGGTGTTTCTTGACTTCCTACTTTTGCATTCCAGTCCCCCATAAAGAAAAGGACATCTTTTTTTGGTGTTAGTTCTAGAAGGTCTTGTAGGTCTTCATAGAACCGTTCAACGTCAGCTTCTTCTGCATAAGTTGTTGGGGTGTAGTCTTGGATTACTGTGATATTGAATGGTTTGCCTTGGAAATGAACAGCGATCTCTCTGTCATTTTTGAGAGTGCATCCAAGTACTGCATTTCAGACTCTTTTGTTGACCATGATGGCTACTCCATTTCTTATAAGGGATTCCTGCCCCCAGTAGTAGATGTAATGGTCATCTGGGTTAAATTCACCCATTCCAGTCCATCTTAGTTCGCTGATTCCTAGAATGACGACGTTCACTCTTGGCATCTCCTGTTTGACACCTCCAATTTGCCCTGATTCATGGACCTAACATTCCAGGTTCCTGTGCATTATCGCTTTTTACAGCATCAGACCTTGCTTCTTCAGCGGCTGCGTTTGCAGCCTGGACATGAGAAGGCGTGTCTCTCCTGTTCTGGACTTTTCAACCAGGGGCCTGGCAAGACCCTCTCTGGCCTGAGCGCCTCATGCAGGACAGCCACGACCCCCAGGGGCACACTCTGCATGCAGGGTGGGCTGAGGGCGGCGTCTGCGTCCACAGCAGCTGCTCTGTCCACGTGGTCGGGAGCTGTCCTGTGGGTGGGCTCTCTTGGCGGGACCCGCAGGGGCCCCAACCTGCAGCCTGCATGTGGCGCAGCAGGCTGTGCAGAGTGGCCCAGCTCACTTCCCAGAATCCGCCCAAGAGGCCACTGGGTGTTAGTACAGGACCCTGCCTACTCGAGCCGGGGTCCCACAGGCGGGCCGGTGAGAACAGCACCTGACACCCGCGACAGGCTCCGTCGTCATCCTGACGCGGGGGCTGCGGGGGGCAGGGCTGGGGGTCCAGGCCTGGGTCTCATGACCCGAGGAGGTCATGGGCCTCAGACGCCGGCTCATGAGGCCCTGGCTCCTGAGCTACATTTGGGGTTTCGTAACTGGACCCTGGGCAGCTCCAGACTCTGGTCATGGTCGCTGAAGGAGGGCTTGACCACGATAATAAACACGTAACTAACTCCCTTGTCCCTGGTCTGAGACGATCCCACACTCCCCATGTCCGCAGGTGACCTGAGCATCTCCGCAGAGCGCCTGAGTGAGAAGCGTTCCCCCAATGACTTTGCGCTCTGGAAGGCCTCCAAGCCTGGGGAGCCGTCCTGGCCCTGCCCCTGGGGCAAGGTGAGTGCTGGCTGGGGCGGAGGATGCGTCCCCGCAAGGCCCAACCCCCGTGGGGTCATCACCTCTCTTCCCGGGACTGTCTTCCCCTCTGTGCCTGGTGGGAGGGGACTGCAGCACCTCGGAGGCCTGCATCCCGACCGTCTCTGACCTGAGCTGTTGGGGCGGGTCCGCCCTCTGATGTTGCCTGTGACGACAGTCATGGTGGCCAAGAGCCACAGGTGGGGGGTGTCGGAGCAGGGGTCCGGCAGTGACACGGCCTCAGCCTTCATGGAGCTCGCGAAGGCCTCTTTTGCCTGGTCTTTCCACATGTGGGAGTTGACTCCCCACTCCCACGGAATTGGGTTTCTGGGGGTTGCACCCACAGAAGCCAGGCAGGGCGCTCCCTCACCGACTGTGGGTCCCCAGGGGCGTCCCGGATGGCACATTGAGTGCTCGGCCATGGCGGGCACCCTCCTGGGAGCCTCGATGGACATCCATGGAGGGGGCTTCGACCTCCGCTTCCCCCACCACGACAACGAGCTGGCACAGTCAGAGGTAAGGGCCGCGGCCGCTGTCCCGGCACGTGGGTGGGTGAGGGGGTGGGCGGCGAGTGCTCTCCCAACAGAGCCTGGCCTCCGAGTCAGGAGCGTGTGAATCGGATTGTTTGGGCTGATTCACACACGAGCGGCCTGGCCTTCGCAGCGCAGGCCCGGACCCACCCGTCCTCACCTCCTCAGGGCCCTGCCCAGCACAGGGTCCCCCCGTTCTGTGCCCCCTCGGGCCTGCAGAGGCGCCCCTGACCCCTACTCCCACCCCTCCCGCCCCGTGTGCCCAGGCCTACTTTGAGAACGACTGCTGGGTCAGGTACTTCCTGCACACGGGCCACCTGACGATCGCGGGCTGCAAGATGTCCAAGTCGCTCAAGAACTTCATCACCATTAAAGATGCCCTGAAGAAGCACTCAGGTAACGAGACACTGGCGTCCCTGTCCGGGGGGGCGCGGCCGGGGTGGAGCCTCAGGCCGCCTTTCTGCCTGCAGCCCGCCAGCTGCGCCTGGCCTTCCTCATGCACTCGTGGAAGGACACGCTGGACTACTCGGCCAACACCATGGAGTCGGCCCTGCAGTACGAGAGGCTCCTCAACGTAGGTCCTGCCCCGGGCCGGCCCCGGCCCCCTGGCCCCGCGAGGGCCGCGCTCCTCCCGGGCAGAAGGGGACGCGGGTGCTGAGCTGGGGCGCGGCTCAGCTGCTTTCCCGAGACGCCCTGGCTCGCCTGCATGGGACCCTCTCATCCAGGCCCGCCCGCCAGCCGCCCCGCACGGGGCCCCAAGGCTGAGATGGGGCTCTGGTCCCACAGAGAAACCTTTCAGCCTCCTTCCTGCCTCCTGCTGTGTGCGGGGGGGTGGCGGGGGGTGGCGGGGCAAGGGCGGTGCCCAGAGCAGCTCAGGCTCTTCTCGGAAATTCTCCTGAATGGGGTTTTCTAACTTCAGGAGTTTTTCTTAAACGTGAAAGACCTCCTCCGAGCCCCCGTGGAGGTGGCCGCTCAGTTTGAGAAGTGGGAGGACGAGGAAACGGAGCTGAACAAGAGGTGAGGTGGCCCCTTAGCTGCAGGCCCGTGGTCCCCGCGTCATGCCCGCTGACCAGCGCTGGGGGCAGCTGGTGACTCCGCCCCTGCTGTCCGTGCGGAGCCGAGCTCAGAAATGGCGCAGGCTGCCCCGGGCGGGGCGGTCCATCTGACGGCACCCCTCCTTCCTTGTCCCACTCAGCTTTTACAAGAAGAAGGCCGCGGTTCACCAAGCGCTCTGCGACAACATCGACACGCGCACGGTCCTGGAGGAGATGCGGGCTCTGGTCGGCCAGTGCAACCTCTACATGGCGGCCCGGAAGGCTGCCAGGAGGAGGCCCCACCGTGTCCTGCTGGAGAGCATCGCCCACTACCTCACACACATGCTGAAGGTGAGCTGGCCTGCGCCGGGACCGCTGGGGGCCCGCAGGTTGGCGCCGGGACCGCTGCGGGCCCGCGGGTCGGCGTGGGGACAGTTGGGGGCCCGTGGGTCAGTGCTGGGACCGCTGGTTGCCCAAAGGGTCGGTGCCGGTATCACTGGGGGCCCACGGGTTGGCACCGGTACCGCTGGGGGCCTGCAGATTGGCGCCGGGACTGCTCGTTGCCCTCGGGTTGGTGCTGGTACCGCTGGGGGCCCGTGGGTCGGTGCCGGGACCGCTGGTTGCCCACAGGTCGGTGCCAGGACCGCTGGTTGCCCACGGGTTGGTTTCGGTACCGCTGAGGACCCGCGGGCCCTGGGAGCCGCACCCCCAGCCTCTGCCTTGGCTTTCGTCCCCCTCTCCCGGGGTTTGATGAGCAGAAGCGCTTTCCTGCCATGGCCCCGATGCGATGCATCGTTTGGCACGCTCTCCTGCTGATGAGTCCTTGGGGGGAGGGGTCCCTGCAGGAGGCTCTGTGGTCCAGTGGCCTTGGCTGGGGGTCAGAGGGGCAGCGGGAACCGGACCTGTCCTGCAGCAGCGGGCGGGCACCTCAGCCTGGGTCTCCATGTCTAACTGCCCTCCACCACCTGGCCGAGCAGAGCCTCAGGCACCGCCGCCCGCCCCTCATGGACACAATCCCTGCCTGCCGTCTCTCAGCCATGTGTCCTGCACGCTTGCTTTTTTCCCTAGATCTTTGGGGCCATAGAAGAGGAAAGTTCCTTGGGTTTTCCCATCGGAAGAGCTGGAACCAGCCTCAATGTGAGTGAAGCCCTCCTGGGCCAGGACCATGTTCCCTCCTGGACGTCTGAGACCAGTCGCCTGTGGGCCACGGGCAGGCCGCTGCTGGGCTTGGTGGGGGGATCCTCTCGCTGTCCTGCCCGTGCCTCCGTGCGGGTGCCCCCACGCCTGTGGGCCCTGTGCTGGACGGGCTTGCACGGCCATTGGCAGCCCCACTCTGAGGCGTGTGTGCCGGGCTCTGGCCTTCACAAACAGGGCGCCGGTCACAGCGACCCGAACGTTCTGTCTGCAGCTGGAGTCCACGGTCATGCCGTACCTGCAGGTGCTATCGGAGTTCCGGGAAGGAGTGCGCCGGATCGCCCGTGAGCACAGAGGTGAGGCGCGCCCGCGTGGGTGCTGCACCTGGCGGAGTATCGCAGGCCAGGGACTGGAGGGGTCCTGTCCTTGCCCGCAGAGCCCCGTGGTGACTGCACAGCATCTGCTGGGGCGGCTTCGCTGTCTGCACGCTGCCTGCCCCTCGTGCTCGCCGAGAGCCTGAGGATGAGGGGGTCGGAACGTGTCCTCTTGAGCAGCTCTGAACAGTTGTCAGATGGGCAGCTAATGGCATCAGAAGGGCGGTCCACGTCCCACTCTGGTCGTCTGGACTCACGGCGACCAGCAGGGCTGACGTGACCCTGTGGTGGGCCGCGAAGCCCTGGGCCGTGCAGGCGGGGAGGGGCGAGGCTGCAGGTGCAGCCTGCAGATGGCCACAGCAGGGCGCGCTCTTTCCCTCCTGGAGCTGCACTCGGAGCTTGGCATCTGCAGGGCCAAGAGGCCCCCGCGGCTGGCACGCTTTGCCAGGTGCCCCAGGGCCGTCGCCCCCCGGGCCTGCGTCCAGGGAGCCCGTTCTTCTCTGCTGGCCTCCGTGGCGGCCGTGTAGCTGCGTCCTTCCGGGAGCCCTGCTGGCTTTCCCACTTGGGGCAGGTCCACCCTGCTTCCCCGTGTCCGCCCCAGCACCTCCCTCCACGGGGCCGCCTCCACTCCTGTCTGGGCCTTGCATGGGGTTCCGCCCCAGACTCGGGGGCCGCTCCTCCAGCCTGGACTCTCCGGGCGGAAGCCTTGGCTTCACTGCTGCTAGCGTGGCGGTGGCAGGGCTGGAACCTTGCATCTCCGCGTGCGAGCTTCTCCCCTCCCCGGAGGCCAGCTCCCTCTGTGCTCTTCTTTTAGGGGCACATGGGTTGTTCTCAGACATTTGTTCTATGTGTTTAAGAGTCGGTTTATTGAATTCCTCGAAAATATCCAGTTAGGGTTTTCCCTTTAGAAAGAAGTAGTTTATTGAGGTGAATTCACATGACGTAAACCGGCCACGTTGAGGTGCCTGTTTGGGCCCCCAGTGCCTTCCGGTCCTGTCCGGCCCCCAAAAGTCTCCACCCTCCAGAGGCACACCCCTCCCCCAGCCTCCGACCGCCATCAGCCTGCCTTCTGTCTTGGGGTTGTCCCGTTGTGGGCACTTTACATGAACTGATCACACAGCAGCGGACGAGACGGTCGGATGGCATCAGTGACTCAATGAACGTGAGTTTGAGCAAACTCTGGGAGATAGTGAGGGACAGAGAAGCCTGACGCGCTGCAGTCCATGGGGTTGCTGAGAGTGGGACACGGCTGAGCGACTGGACAGCAGCCACAGCACGCGACCTTGTCTGTCTGTCTGTTTGACCCGTTGTTCTGTAAGGAGTTCAGAGAGATTCCAGGGTCAGTAGAGTCCCTGGGATGCTAGCCCGGCTCTGCTGTCTCTTAAGTTCACTCTGTTCTCCAGACTTCTTTGAGTCTCATGCAGAGATAACGATGCGGATTTTTGCCAACAGGGGAAGGGAGCAGAACCCTTCCAGCCTGTTGTTTGGCTGTTTTTATCTGGCTTCTCAGCAGAACGTTTTCGAGGTTACCCACACTGTAGCACGTGACCGTGCTCCCTCCCTTTTTAAATCAATGATTGTCCGCTGGATGCGCTTGCGGCGTTCTGTTCGTCTCTTCAGCCCTGGATGTGTGGACAGCTTGCACCTTGGTGCCCAGCACTGCTGTGGCCGCACGTGTGCAAGCATCCGCTGGGCTCCCTGTGTTCAGGAGTTCCGGGGGCGCGCCTGGGAGAGGCTTTGAGGGGCCATGCAGCAGTCCTCTGTTTAACGTTTGTGTGGTGAGCGTACCGCAGGTCGCTCAGTCCTGTCCGACTCTACGACCCCACGGACTGTAGCCCGCCAGGCTCCTCAGTCCATGGGATTCTCTGGGCAACAATACTGGAGTAGGTAGCCGTTCCTGTCTCCAGGGCATCTTCCCGACCAGGGATTGAACCCGGGTCTCCTGCATTGAGGGCAAATTCTTTACCACCTGAGCCACCCCGGGAAGCCCATTAACTTTCTGAGGACCTGCCAAAGCGCTTTCTGCAGTGGCTGAATCATTATATACGGTGCACAAGGGTTCCAGTTTGTCCAAGCCGTTGTCCACAGACACCTGTCATTTTCCGTGCATCATCGTGACAGCCATCCTGGCGGTGCGCAGTGGTGCCTCATCGTGGCTGTGCTTGGCATGAAGTGATGATGAGCAGCGAGCTGCTTGGCCATCTGCACGTCTCCTCTGGAGATGTGTCTGCCCAGGCCCTTGGCTCGTTTTCAGTTGGCCCTTTGTCCTGCTGTTGAGTTGTCGGAGCTCTGTATTTGTGTCTGGGCACTAGGCCCTCTTCAGATCCGTGACTCGAAGGAGGCTGGGGAGAAAGCAGCTGTAAAGTAGCAAACAGGTTTGGAAAGAGAGCCTGGAGGGAGGTTTGTGCTCCGCGGACCGGAGCAGGTCTCTGTAGAGGTGAGGAGCCCACCCAGAGGACCGCCCCCAGGCAACGGCGGCGCAGGTGGAGCTGGCCTGCTTCCTTTTGGGGCGCGAGTGGCCCCTGGGCACGTGCCTTGGCCAGCGCTCTGGGGTCTCCTCGGGGAGCTGTTGAGTGAGGACCCCCCAGGGCAGAATGAGAGGAGGAGCCAGACATAAAGACCATCGTCCCCCCAGTCCTGCCTCGGGACTGGAACAGGTGTCAGGAAGTGGGAGATTGTCTTCTGGCTGCATGTGTGGCAGGGGCTCGGATGTCCCCTGGGACGTGCAAGTTGTGCGTTCATTCACTCACCCGTGAGTGGACAGGCGGGGCCCCCAGCGGGCGGCGGGAGCACCCTGGGGCCTGGGGACATGTGGAGACAGGACCAGCGGGTGAGTGACCCCATGGCTGCCGTCAGAACTGCGGGGAGGGATGTGCAGGGCGGGTGGAGGGCCCGGGGGCCCAGGTCTGCCAAAGCTGAACCTGCCGTGCCCAGGGCCGGGGCCTCAGGCCGGAGGGTCTCAGGAGCAGCTCTTGGAGTCAGCAGGAGTGGGTTCAGCTGGGGTGGCCCCTTACAAGCCCTTCATGCCCCAGTGCAGACAGGCCGGCCTCCCCCCGCATCCTCCCTGGTGTGCACGCCCCCCGCAGACGGGGCCTGGCTGGCGTCGGCACCTCAGGTCCATTATGGGCTGGCATAGGGTCCCCCCGCTCCTGGGCCAGGAAGGGAGTGAGCCAGGAGTCGCTCATGTTGCCTGTAGGATGAACAGAGAGGCTATGCACGGGTTAGGATTGTCTGAACCTGAAGGGCCTGTCCAGGCGGCCCGGGGCCTCCCGAGGGGTCTGCTTGCCCTGCCCACTCCGCCTGCTCCTGGGGGCCCTTCAGAGCCAGGGCCCGGCCATCCTCTGCTCCTTCAAGCCGGGCTCTGGGCAGCCCCCTACCTTGGGTGGGGTGGGCCTGGCCAGGAGCGCTGGTGCCCGAGGCAGAGTGGGGAGTGGGGGCCCTTTTCTGTCCCTTGCTAGGCCAGGATCTCTGGGTGAGGGCCGCGGGCAGCCATGGGGGTCACCCCAGCCTGCAGACTCACGTCAGTCCCTGGAGAGCCCTGCCTCCACTCCCACCTTTCTGGGTCCCGCCTGCAGGTCCCCAGGCCCGGCATGCCGTCTGTTGTGTACCAACAGCAGGGAGCCGTTCCAGGGCTGGTCACGACCTCGGGGCTCGGAGCAAGTCCCTGGTCCCGGGTGGAGGGGCGCGGCTGCCTCTCCCAGGACCGCTGCGCCCTGGCCACAGGCTCAGTGTTCCCAGGTTTCCCTCTGTGCTGCGGAGCCCTGGTCTCCCCTCGCCTGCCGTCCCGCCGCGCTGTCCCCACCCAGGGTCCTCGGGGCCAGTCCGCGAGCCCGCCGCTTAGCAGGGCCCCGAGCTGTGCCCGGGCCACGGGGTCCCGGCGGGCTGCTCCGTGCTCAGCGGTGACCGTGGTGTCCGTGTTGGCTTCGCCTGCCTCCACCACCAGCGGAGGGCCTCAGGCGGTCCTGCACCCGAGGACTGAGCCGTGTCCTCTGCCCACAGTGCCTGAGGTCCTCCAGCTGAGCGACGCCCTGCGGGACGACGTCCTGCCCGAGCTGGGGGTGCGGCTGGAAGACCACGAAGGTGGGTCCCCTGGCTGTGATGAGGGGCTGCTGGGTGGGGGCTGCCAGGTGGGCCTGGCTTTCAGGAGGATGCCTTTTATAGGGTCCGAGGGCTGGATTGTGCCCCTTGGGCATCATGCCAGCCCCCCCTCTGTCTTGAAAGATGACACCTGGGGCTCTGCTCCTGTGGCCTGGCTGCCCGGCACTCCTGATTCTGCAGGGACCTGTCCCTTGGGAGGCAGCCTGTGTCCTGTGGATCATCAGCAAGTGTCACAGCTTGTCTTTCGACTTGGCTGGGGTTTGGGCTGCACGGAAAATGATCGGGTTTAAACACTCGGGAGAAAGTCTTACTTTGGGACACCTAGCTCTTCAGTCTCGAGCCACCAGGCCCCCCCACGGCACAGTTAATGTGTGGTCTGTGGGAGCAGTAAGGGGGGCTTCCCTGCTTCCCTCTGGGGGCCCGGAGGGCGGGAGTGGTGGGCACAGGGCCGGGCTCGGGAGTCCCACGGCCATTTGCCTTTCAGGACTGCCCACCGTGGTCAAGCTGGTGGACAGAGACACCTTACTGAGAGAGAAAGAAGAAAAGAAAAGGGTGAGTGGAACCGCAGTGACCGGAGCTGGGTGTTTGCTGAGCACATGATGACCACGGGCGTGCATGCGCTTCACCGTGTAAGAGTCAGTGTTTGCACTCTTATTAAAGCACCAGTGTTTATAAATGTCGAAAGGGAGGACTAACCAGCTAGGTAACTACTTGGCAGTTAAACAACAACAGGATCAGCTCCTAATGAAGGGTGCAGAGCATGAGGGGAGGTCTGTTGCTTCTGGTGACCTGCAGACGTGTGGTCTCACCTGCCTGTCACCTGATGTGTCAGCCTGGCCCCGGGGCTGAGCATATCTCCCTCCATCCTTCCCGGGGGTGAGTGTGTCTCACCCCCATCCATCACCCCCATCCTCCCCATCCCGGGAGTGAGCGTGTCTCCCCTCCATCCTTCCCGGGGGTGAGCATGTCTCAACCCCATCCTCCCCATCCCGGGGCTGAGCGTGTCTCCACCTCATCCTCCCCATCCCGGGGCTGAGCGTGTCTCACCTCATCCTCCCCATCCCAGGGGTGAGCGTGTCTCCCCTCCATCCTTCCCGGGGGTGAGCGTGTCTCAACCCCATCCTCCCCATGCCGGGAGTGAGCGTGTCTCCTCTCCATCCTCCCCATCCCGGGGGTGAGCGTGTCTCACCTCCATCCTCCCCGGGGGTGAGTGTGTCTCACCTCATCCTCCCCGGGGGTGAGCGTGTCTCCACCTCATCCTCCCCATCCCGGGGGTGAGCGTGTCTCCCCCTCATCCTCCCCATCCCGGGGGTGAGCGTGTCTCCACCTCATCCTCCCCATCCCAGGGGTGAGCGTGTCTCCCCCTCATCCTCCCCATCCCGGGGGTGAGCGTGTCTCCACCTCATCCTCCCCATCCCGGGGGTGAGCGTGTCTCCCCCTCATCCTCCCCATCCCAGGGGTGAGCGTGTCTCCCCCTCATCCTCCCCATCCCAGGGGTGAGCGTGTCTCACCTCCATCCTCCCCATCCCGGGGGTGAGCGTGTCTCCCCCTCATCCTCCCCATCCCAGGGGTGAGCGTGTCTCCCCTCATCCTCCCCAACCCGGGGGTGAGCGTGTCTCCCCCTCATCCTCCCCATCCCGGGGGTGAGCGTGTCTCCCCCTCATCCTCCCCATCCCAGGGGTGAGTGTGTCTCCACCTCATCCTCCCCATCCCGGGGGTGAGCGTGTCTCCACCTCATCCTCCCCATCCCGGGGGTGAGCGTGTCTCCCCCTCATCCTCCCCATCCCGGGGGTGAGCGTGTCTCCCCCTCATCCTCCCCATCCCGGGGGTGAGCGTGTCTCCCCCTCATCCTCCCCATCCCGGGGGTGAGCGTGTCTCACCTCCATCCTCCCCGTCCCGGGGGTGAGCGTGTCTCACCTCATCCTCCCCATCCCGGAGGTGAGCGTGTCTCACCTCCATCCTCCCCATCCCGGGGGTGAGCGTGTCTCCCCCTCATCCTCCCCATCCCGGGCGTGAGTGTGTCTCACGTCATCCTCCCCATCCCAGGGGTGAGCGTGTCTCCCCTCATCCTCCCCATCCCGGGGGTGAGCGTGTCTCCCCCTCATCCTCCCCGTCCCGGGGGTGAGCGTGTCTCACCTCATCCTCCCCATCCCGGGGGTGAGCGTGTCTCCCCCTCATCCTCCCCATCCCGGGCGTGAGTGTGTCTCACCTCATCCTCCCCATCCCAGGGGTGAGCGTGTCTCCCCCTCATCCTCCCCATCCCGGGGGTGAGCGTGTCTCCCCTCATCCTCCCCGTCCCGGGGGTGAGCGTGTCTCCCCTCATCCTCCCCATCCCGGGGGTGAGCGTGTCTCCACCTCATCCTCCCCATCCCGGGGGTGAGCGTGTCTCACGTCATCCTCCCCATCCCGGGGGTGAGCGTGTCTCCCCCTCATCCTCCCCATCCCGGGGGTGAGCGTGTCTCCCCCTCATCCTCCCCATCCCAGGGGTGAGCGTGTCTCCACCTCATCCTCCCCATCCCAGGGGTGAGCGTGTCTCACCCTCATTCTCCCCATCCCGGGGGTGAGCGTGTCTCCCCCTCATCCTCCCCATCCCGGGGGTGAGCGTGTCTCCCCCTCATCCTCCCCATCCCAGGGGTGAGCGTGTCTCCCCCTCATCCTCCCCATCCCAGGGGTGAGCGTGTCTCCACCTCATCCTCCCCATCCCAGGGGTGAGCGTGTCTCACCCTCATTCTCCCCATCCCAGGGGTGAGCGTGTCTCCACCTCATCCTCCCCATCCCAGGGGTGAGCGTGTCTCCCCCTCATCCTCCCCATCCCAGGGGTGAGCGTGTCTCCCCCTCATCCTCCCCATCCCAGGGGTGAGCGTGTCTCCCCCTCATCCTCCCCATCCCAGGGGTGAGCGTGTCTCACCTCCATCCTCCCCATCCCAGGGGTGAGCGTGTCTCCACCTCATCCTCCCCATCCCGGGGGTGAGCGTGTCTCCCCCTCATCCTCCCCATCCCGGGGCTGAGCGTGTCTCCCCCTCATCCTCCCCATCCCAGGGGTGAGCGTGTCTCCCCTCATCCTCCCCATCCCGGGGGTGAGCGTGTCTCACCGCCATCCTCCCCATCCCAGGGGTGAGCGTGTCTCCCCCTCATCCTCCCCATCCCGGGGGTGAGCGTGTCTCACCTCCATCCTCCCCATCCCGGGGGTGAGCGTGTCTCCCCCTCATCCTCCCCATCCCGGGGGTGAGCGTGTCTCCCCCTCATCCTCCCCATCCCAGGGGTGAGTGTGTCTCACCTCCATCCTCCCCATCCCAGGGGTGAGCGTGTCTCCCCCTCATCCTCCCCATCCCAGGGGTGAGCGTGTCTCCCCCTCATCCTCCCCATCCCAGGGGTGAGCGTGTCTCACCCTCATTCTCCCCATCCCAGGGGTGAGCGTGTCTCACCTCATCCTCCCCATCCCAGGGGTGAGCGTGTCTCACCTCCATCCTCCCCATCCCAGGGGTGAGCGTGTCTCCCCCTCATCCTCCCCATCCCGGGGGTGAGCGTGTCTCCCCCTCATCCTCCCCATCCCAGGGGTGAGTGTGTCTCACCTCCATCCTCCCCATCCCAGGGGTGAGCGTGTCTCCCCCTCATCCTCCCCATCCCAGGGGTGAGCGTGTCTCCCCCTCATCCTCCCCATCCCGGGGGTGAGCGTGTCTCCCCCTCATCCTCCCCATCCCGGGGGTGAGCGTGTCTCCCCCTCATCCTCCCCATCCCGGGGGTGAGCGTGTCTCCCCCTCATCCTCCCCATCCCGGGGGTGAGCGTGTCTCCCCCTCATCCTCCCCATCCCGGGGGTGAGCGTGTCTCACCTCCATCCTCCCCGTCCCGGGGGTGAGCGTGTCTCCCCCTCATCCTCCCCATCCCGGGGGTGAGCGTGTCTCCCCCTCATCCTCCCCATCCCAGGGGTGAGCGTGTCTCCCCTCATCCTCTCCATCCCGGGGGTGAGCGTGTCTCACCTCCATCCTCCCCATCCCGGGGGTGAGCGTGTCTCCCCCTCATCCTCCCCATCCCGGGGGTGAGCGTGTCTCCCCCTCATCCTCCCCATCCCGGGGGTGAGCGTGTCTCACCTCCATCCTCCCCGTCCCGGGGGTGAGCGTGTCTCCCCCTCATCCTCCCCATCCCGGGGGTGAGCGTGTCTCACCCTCATTCTCCCCATCCCGGGGGTGAGCGTGTCTCCCCCGCATCCTTCCCGGGGGTGAGTGTGTCTCACCTCCGTCCTCCCCGTCCCCAGGGATGAGCGTCTCACACCTCCCTCCACGCCAGCACACGTCCTTCTCACATGTCAGACACCCTAGCCCTCTGGGAGCAGCACTGCTCCGTGAATCGGGACCAACCTCGCTCTCGGGGACTCGGTGTCCTGCAGAGAAACGGGGATGGAACCGGCGCCCTTCAGAAGCGCTGGCCACAGCTTATGGGGTGGGCCCACAAGGCCATAGGAGGAGACCGCTGTCAAGCTGAGTTTGGGGGCCCGGAAGGGCCTCTGCAGCTGTCCGGGAGAACTGACGGCAGGGGGAGTGGGCCCGGGAGAGTAGTGGTGAGGCGGCGGGGCTGCCCCGTGGACGCCGGGAGGGCTGTGCGCCGCGGGAAGCCTCGGCAGACCCACGGTCAGCTCCCGGCTGCTCCTCGCGGGCACGGAGCCCAGCACCCAGCCCACCTGCCCCCAGATGGCGTGGGGTCGCCCTGCCGTCCCTGGTCCCGGGCGGGTCTCTGCTCCCTCCTTCGCGGTGGCCGTGCTGAGGGTGACCCTGTGTGTGGTGCCCACTCCCTGCCCTGTGTCCAGAGCAGGGCCGGGCAGGGGGCAACAGGGGGCTTGTCCTGCTGCTCTCGCCCTCGAGCGGGGTCTGGGGGGCTCAGCTCATGGGGGTCTGCTGTCCCCCAGGCTGAAGAGGAGAAGAGGAGGAAGAAAGAGGAGGCCGCCAGGAAGAGACAGGAGCAGGAGGTAGCGTCTGCCTCAGTGGGGGGGGGCTCCCGGCAGGAAGGCACTGTGACCCCCACTCTGCTGTCTGTGTCTCTCAGGGCCCAGCTGCCCCCACCTCTGTCCCCACGTCCACGTGGTGCCCCAGGGAAGCCGTGGCTGCAGGACGGTGCCTGCTGCCCTGACCCTGCCGTGTGCCCCACACCCCTCTGTCCTGCAGAAAACCTCCGCTTTCCGTCTTTAACTCCCCCTGCCTAGGTGTTGCCTCCATCCTTCTGTCACTCCCTGAACTTGGGGGCTGGCGTGGGGTCCCCCGTGAGCTCGGAGCAGTGACCCCACATGTGTGTTCCAGGCAGCAAAGCTGGCCAAGATGAAGATCCCACCCAATGAGATGTTCTTATCAGAAAGCGACAAATACTCCAAGTTCGACGAAAATGTAAGAGGAGCCTTTTTTTTCTTTTCAGGACATTGTTAGACCATGAAACGGGGATGGCCGGGGTTTGAACTTGGCTGAGGAGCATCTCTGCCCAGGAAGTCGGGCTCGTGTGGGCTGTTTAGGTCCAGCCTGTGTGCAGGACTGCCCTCCGTCAGTGCGGCCCGGGGCTCTGGCCGGGGTTGGTTAAGGGGTTTGCAGAGCCTGTCCCCACAGATGGTCCGGGGGGCGTGGCATAGCCGTGCCCCCGGCCAGGGGCTCCGCAGCGGGGCCCTCCCGGGACCCTCCGGCCACGGTGCTCTTGTGTGTGTTTGCTGAGCGCTTTTCAGCTCACACCTGCAAGGAGGCCACCGACACAGGTGGGCACCATGCTGCTCAGCCCTGGGCAGGAGGGCGCTCCCCAGAGGCCCCGGCGCCGCGTTATCGGGGTGCTGGGTGCAGAGTGTGGTTTGGGGGAGGGGTGTCTGGGATGACCAACGTGCTCTCACCCCCCAGGGTCTGCCCACGCATGACACAGAAGGCAAAGAGCTGAGCAAAGGGCAGGCCAAGAAGCTGAGGAAGCTCTTCGAGGCGCAGGAGAAGCTGCACTTGGAGTACCTGCAGCTGGTTCAGAACGGGGGCGCCCTGTGACCCCCGGGACCCTGCCTGCACGCCCGCCTGTTTACAGCGGCCCTCGCCCCGAGGGAAGCGCTCTGTCCGCAGAGGGCCGGGCCGCCTCCTGCTCTGAGTCAGTAATAAAGTCTTCCCAACCGGGCGCCGGACTCTGTCTGCCGTCAGCCTGCACGGTCAGCACGCCGGGCCGGCTGGGCTGCTGGGTCAGCAGGTCACAACTCGGGGGCTCGGACCACTGAGTGGCTTCAGCCGAGGACTGTCCCCACCCCCCCCACCCCCCCAGTACAGATGGCTATCGGCTAATCTCTGCCGTGTGGGCGCATTGGGAGGCATTTGAGCAGGAAAAAGACAGGCTCAAACTGGCAGGGCCCGCCGCCGCCGCACACAAAGCCTGCCCAGCCGGGCGCTCGGGTCCTGCTAGCTCAGCTCGCTGCGCTGTCTGCACGGCGATCCTGCGGGTGGGCCGGCTCAGCACTGCCGGGGTGAGCAGGGGGCCACGGCGTCCCCAGTCCCCGCCCGGAGCATGTCCTCCCCACCCCTGTTCACGCGTTTTCACTCCCGGAGGAGAACCCTCACTGAGCTCCAAGGTGTGTCTCCAGCCTTGGTCGAGGCGGGGCACCGGGGGCGGGGGGCGGCAGGTGGGCTCTGCGAGGGCCTCGATGGGGTCCTCGGGGCCGGGCGGACGGGCTGAGTGTCGTCGTCCCGTGCTCTGTGGCAGTCAGGGTGCGGTGACCCGGCCCGCGGTGGGGGGCTGTTGGCCATGCTCAGGGGTGGGCGTGCTCACCCTGCACCTCTGTAGCCTGCCCACAGGATCACTACTCCCGGAGCAGGTGGGAGCACGTGCCGGCCGACACTGGCTGCACTTGGGGGGCCCAGCCCCATGGGGAGCCCAAGAGGGAGACCCCACGAGGACAGGCTCTGGGTGTCGGTATCGGTGTGCGTACTAGGGCGCTCCACTTGTGTCCCACTGCGACCCTGTGGACTGTAGCCCCCCAGCCTCCTCTGTCCGTGGGATTCTCCAGGCAAGAACACTGGGGTGGGTTGCCATGCCCTCCTCCAGGGCATATTTCCAACCCAGGGACTGAAATGTTCAACTACAAAAAACATAAACCCTAGTAACAAAAACAGCCCCCAAACAGTGAAACAAGCCCAGGCCAGTTATCTGGTGCTGCCCAGCAAGCCGCCCTGCCCTCGGTGCTGACGTGGCACTGAGCTTATCGTTGAGCCTGGCCCCGCTGGTGGCTCTCGGTCAGGGCCCCCACCGGGTGCAATCAGGGTGGGGTCTGCGCTCCGGAGCCGGGGTGCTGGGTCTGAGGTCCATGGCCTCGGTGCTCCCCAGAGAGATAGGCACCACATGCCCTTGGGTGTCTCAGGGACCCCCCATCACCCTCTGGGGGGGGCACGGTGAGGGCGGGGAAGAGGGCGGCAGCCACGTAGGAAAGCGCCCCTTCACCCAGTCGCAGCGGCTCCAGGGGTCGGGGGGAACGCGCCCCTCTGCTGCACGGCATCAGGGGTTGTCCGAGGCCAGACACGGGGACCCCGATGCTGTGTCACCGCACAGAGCGCTGCGTGCCTGTCACCCCTGCTTCCCGGCCCTGCAGGCTGAGGGGCTGCCCTGCGGAGTGTGAGCACCGGGCCGGTTCTGGCTCTGAGTGGCAGCCCCCTCCTGGGAGGAAGCGTTCCGGAAGGAAGGAAGGAAGTCACGGGGCAAACCAGGAATGGCACAGCGGTCGGGGGGTCTCCAGGGCATTGGGCAGAGGGTCCCGCATGGTGAGATCAGTGAGGGGACCTCCTCAAGAGCCCAGAGGTGCAGAGACCGCATCTGGTGGGGCCGGGGGGTTGATGACTAGAAAGTGCAGCAGGAGGGGTCGTCACGGTGGCGGGCAGTCTGGACCGCTCACCCATCGGCCACAGTGGTGGCTGCAGGAATCCACGCCCGGGGCCATGTGCCCCCAGGGCTGGTCTCCGGGCGCTGATCTTGGGTGAGACGTAAGCATCAGGAAGTCACGTGGAGGGCACAGGGCCTCTTCTGCTGCAGCTTCCTGGAACCTCTTACTATTTCAAAGTCAAAAGCCTCAGCAGCCTCCCCCGGCTCAGTCTGTGAAGACTTGGGCACTGAAAAGAAAGAGCTGTTGAAATCCGGCTTCCACACTTGCCCTCAAGGCCAAAGAACGCCAAGACGTAATACCTGTCACCGCTGGAGGGGACATCTGGTCCACAAGCTTGGTTTTCCTAAGTGGCAGGATTAGACGTCTCCGTCCCCTGTGGAAACTGCCCTTCAGGGCCCCCCATGGCCCCACTGAAAGGGGCAGCGGGCCAAGCTGATGGGACAGAGCGGACGGAACAGGGCAGTTGGACAGCCTCCATTCCTGGGCCCCGGCCATCCGTTCCCGACTCAGGCCGGGGCCATCGGTGGGCTCTGAGTTGGAAGTTGGGAGCTACCGGTTTTCACGACGGTGAAGTGTCATCTCACAGGTGGCTCAGAGGTGGCGGGGACCAGGAAGGGTGCACCTGTCCAACGCCGAGCTCTGCCCATCACCTCCCCGCGTCTCTCAGGCTCCGCGTTCCCCTAGAGGGACATGTGGGTCTGAGGGGTCCCCTGCCGGGGAGCCGGGCTCACCTGCACAGAGCAGTCTTTCCACTAAGAGCACAGAGCTAGCACCGAGTGAAGCTTCCGGACCCACGCCACCTGGGCAGGCCCGGCTCGGACGCAGCTGAGGCTGCAGAGCGCGCCGCCTCCCGTCCCCGGGGTGAGGTCCCTGCCCCTGGTCGGGGCCCCTCCTGGAGACGGCCATCCACCTCAGGTCCTGCTCACAGGCTGCACTGGGGAGCCAGGCAGAGGCAGGCGGTGCCCACGGAGAGGCAGACGGACTCCTCCAGGAGGCGGGGCCCGAGAAACGCCACCACCTCCAGCGTGTGGACCTTGACGGTTCCGAACAAACCTGCCGCAGAGATGTTCGGGGACATTTACGTGTGGGCTGGGTGTGGCATGACTAAGGAACTCTCATTTCTGTTAGTGCGATTGTGCGGGCTGTGTCCTCGTGTCTTAGTTTAGGACAGCGCGGTGTGAGGTCTGTCCCGGAGCTGAAACTGGATGAAGCCAATCAAGCACATGCTTGTGGTCACATCAGAGCAACCACGTGTGTCCCCTAGGTCATCCTCTCTACCTTCCTGTGTTCCCGACTTTTCATGATCCGATATTGTTTGTAACATGCTGCCAGGGAACACTCTCATCTTTATTTTTATTTATTTATTTGCTTATTTTTTTGGCTATGGCCACACAACATGCAGAGTCTTAGGTCCCTGACCAGGGACTGAACCCACGCCCCCTGTGTTGGAAGCACAGTCTTCACCACTGGACCACCAGGGAGGCCCTTCACCTTCTTGTCTTTAGTGGAGAACATGAGTCCTGCCCTGCATCTGCAAAGGATGGGGTGGGGAGTGGGGGGCTGGCCCCGGCCCGGGTGCCTGCAGTGGGTGTGGGGGGCCCAGGAGGTTCGCCACCCCACCGCAGCCTGGTCAGCAGAGTCCGTGCTGTCCCCTTTGCATTTGGTCTTTGTACCCTCACAAGCCACTGCAGAACCTTCTGGAACAAGATGGGATGAAAAACTTTTTTTTAACTTGGAAAATATCAATTCACCAGTAAAACTTTGTTTCCTTCATGTGTGTGTATGAAGCCTCTTTCCAGCTTTAAGAGCCAGAATTGTCTTCCTGTGTGGGTGTGTGCTCAATTGCTCAGTAATGTCCGACTGCGACCCGGTGGACCACAGCCCGCAGGCGCCTCTGTCCATAGGATGCTCCAGGCAAGAACACTGGAGTGGGTTGCCGTGCCCTCCTCTAAGGGATCTTCCCAACCCAGGGATCCAACCCACGTGTCTTACATCTCTTGCATTGGCAGGTGGGTTCTTTACCACTAGCACCACCTGGGAAACCCAAAGTCTTCCTGCTTCTCCGCAAAGAGAAATTTTTCACGTTTTCATTATTAAAAAAAAAAAATTACAGAGTCACAGTTTAAAAATCAAATCTTGGGACTTCCCTGGTGGTTCAGGGGTTAAGAATCTGCCTTGTGACGCCAGGGGATGTGGGTTCGACCCCTGGCCGTGGAACCAGGAGCCCACATGCTGCAGGGCAGTTGAGACCAGGACAGAACCACAGACTGCACGCCACAACCGGGACCCGACACAGCCAGATGTTTTTCTAAAAAATCAAATGATGCAGAAAACTACCAGAATAACATAGCGACTGAGTGTCTTCTTAAGGCCATCTCTGAGCGAGCCTGTAACACTTTGGGGACAAGCTCCTGGCTCCTTCCCTCTAAGGGTGTATGTCTACAGATACACCCCATGTCGGGCACCCCTCTCTGCACAGAATAGAAGGGATGTTTTCTGATGTTAGTATACTGCGATTTTCCACTTCCTCTGCATGTCCATGTGTCTGTGTCACGAGAGCATCGTGACCTGGGTGCCACCACCCTGGGGAGGCACGTGGGTGCTTCTGGGACCCAGGCTCCCTCTCTTCTACCAGCCCTGGGGGCTGTTCACTGAGCAGCGGCCCCCCCAAGAGGCGAGGGCCAGGGTCCCCTCCAGGGCCAGGTTGCTTAATTTAAATCCATCTGTGTCTGTAATGTGGGGAGCAGGGCAGAAAATGCAGAGTGCAGGCAGGTGAGGATGGCTGCCTGATGTCACAAGAGACGTGAAGAGACCTAGTGCAGTTTCCAAAGAGCCGCTGCAGACAAGGCCAGCTGCAGGGGGTTCCAGCTCCCACTTCTGTTGGGGAATCCAAGACCCAGGGCCCGATATCTGAGACATCAGACCCAGGCAGGGGGCTTGGGATGGCAAGGCTGGCATCACTCTGAGCCCAGCATCTGCCCGTCACTCCCACGGGCAGGTGGGGATACGGCATTACACCTGGCCCAGCGAGCACCCCGGGGCTCCGGCCTGGGCTCACCTCCCAGTGGGACTTCCAGGCGCTATCTTTAGTTGCCATGAGCCACCCTGAGCTATTTGCAGGTCCTGGAATGTGGCTGGGGTCATCAGAACAGACACTTGAGCAAAATGTTTTTATAAATACATTGCCTGCATTGAACTGTATTCCCTAGCATCACAGAATGTTAGCATTAAAAGGTTGTCGGAAAGGTCACTCACCTCTTTAGCAGGTGAGGAAACTACTGTCCAAGAAGGTGAAAGTCTTTCTCAAGATCACAAATCCAGGACAGGGTGACTCTGGATGGTTCGTGATTTACAAGGAACAGCGGTCCCGATGTCAGCAGGTAGGACGAAAGTCTGGGGCCTCCCTGGTGGCTCAAAAGGTAAGGAATCTGCCTGCAATGCAGGAGGACTGGGTTTCATCCCCGAGTTGGGAAGATCCCCTGGAGAAGGGAATGGCTACCCACTCTAGTATTCTTGCCTGGAGAATCCTATGGACAGAGGAGCCTCGCAGGCTACAGTCCATAGGGTCACACAGAGTCAGACAAAACTGAGCGACTTAACACCTTCAGGGCAAAAGTTAACACTGGACAAGACTTTACATCACTCCTAACATGCAATATAGACACACAGCATCCCCACGAGTCCGACAGAACATTTTCATCTAATAAGGAAACGCTGCTTTTTCTTCCATTAAATCCCAGATAAAGGTGTTGGCTTGGTTTTAAGGGGCGAAGTTGCATTGGGGAATGGGGAGACAGAATAAGAAATACCTTTGACTGAAGGGACTTACACACACACACACCCCCGCCCTGGGTTGTGGGGCAGTAGCACTGTTGTGGTCTTTGGATGAACAAAGCAACTTGGATAGCCCACCTTTCTTTTATACTTGTCTCCTAGTGTGTGCTTTTTTTTGTTTTTCCATTTATTTTTATTAGTTGGAGGCTAATTACTTTACAATATTGTAGTGGTTTTTGCCATACATTGACATGAATCAGCCATGGATTTACATGTATTCCCCATCCCGATCCCCCCTCCCACCTTCCTCTCTACCCGATCCCTCTGGGTCTTCCCAGTGCTGTGTGCTTTTTTTTAAAGGTTCTTTTTATGTGGGCCATTTTTTTTTAATACTGCTTCTCTTTTATGTTTTGGTTTTTTGGCTGTGAGGCAGGTGGGAGCTTAGCTCCCCGACCAGGGATTGAACCTGCCCCCTCTGTGGTGGAAGACAAAGTTGTAATCACTGGACCACTGGAGAGGTCCTGTGATTTCCACTTTAATGATTAATATCTCATACAAGTTGCATAGTCCTTGTTGGGCTTGATGATTTCTCTTATTGTCCCTGCTGTTGATTCTGCTGATCATGTTATCATTAAGTCAACCTTAACCAAAAACAGCCACAGCAAAACCAGGATCAACAGAAACGCCACACCCTAGGCTGTATGTCTCGGGACTGTGCAAGAGTAATTGCAAAGAAGGAACTGCTCATCAGACCTAAAATTTGGATAGCCATTTACACTTAACTGTATTCAGAGAGTATTGTATTTGTTCCAAGGTAGCTCAAAAAGCTTCAAAAGTGCCCTTGAGGAAGTGGGAAAAACAATCTCATTGTAATGAGAATATACACAGGGACTTCTCTGGTGGTGCAGTGGATGAGTCCGCCGGCCCAGGCAGGGGACATGGTTCCAACTACTGAGGGAGTGTGCCACGACGACTGAGCCGGAGCTCTAGGGCCCACGAGCTGCAGCCGCTGAGCCTGCCCTAGAGCTTGTGCTCCATGGGAGGAGCCACCGCAGTGAGAATCCTTCACCCTGCAATGAAGAGTAGCTGCAGTGAGCAAGCCTGCACACAGCAACAGAGACCCAGCACTACCACAAATAAGTAATGTTTTACAAATTATATTAAAACAGGAATATATATACAGATGTGAAACAGGGAGGTAGGGGGTCTGGAGAACTGTGATGGTCCTTGCTGCTGGTAGTTGAAAATACAGAACTATCTGCAAGAATAAGGGCAAGAAAAATCAGCACAGAGAACCCTTTAAATTCAGAGTCATGATTTACTTTCCAAATGGAATAGACTCAACTAGCAGTTTTGCTTCTTAACTAACATGGTCTTGAGAAAGCCACTTCACCTCCTTCTATGGGTTTATCTGTTAACTCCTACAGACGCTGTGCCATGTTAATACATCTCTTTGGTTCAGCAGTGACGACAGCAAGTTAGGTGTCCATCCTCGCACCTAAAACTCTTTGGACTAAAGAGTCTCACTAAAAAAAAGGTTTCATGTAAAATTATCCAGGGACCCTAATGCAGAAGTAGTATTTGACTTCTTTAGACAGAAATGCAGCAAAATGTGTAATTAAGTTGCATCCTTTGTAATTCTTTTGTTTTTCTATTTCAAAATAAAGTCCTTTGCTTAGCTTGTGAGCATAGTAATTAATGTTTCAGATATCATTTTTGAAGCACAGGACTAAATAACAACGAACTGTATTAATAAAGGACTAATATGAGGGTGATGTTTTCCTAATACATTGCTTCCCAGGTGGCTCCGGTAAAGAATCCACCTGTCAGTGTGGGAGACTTGGAGACCGGGCTTCCATCCCTGGGTTGAGAAGGTCCCCTGGAGGAGGAAATGGCCACCCACTCCAGTAGGCTTGCATGAGGACTTTCATGGACAGAGGAGCCTGGTGGGCTACGGTCCACGGGGTCACAAAGAGTCAGAGGCGACTGAGCACACACGCACGAATTGTGTTTCTGAACTTGAGTAGGGATATTTTGAACTGTTTGGTCATATGTTAAATAAGACTTTGTGCTTTTAAAAAGATTCCTGATAATACTCGATTCTTTCTCGCGAGCCCTACATACAATTCTGACTTTCTCACAACGATCTCCATCTTCTTTTACTGGAAATGTCGCTTCATCAATCCGTTAGGAATTAAACCTCTGCTTTGGCTTGCTTTTATGTTTAAAGAGGATCTATGCAGACAGAGAAGGCCGTGAGATGCAGCCCCAACCCGGAGCCTCCAGAAGCCGAAAGAGGCAGGAAGGATCCTCCCCGGGAGTCCCCTGGAGGGAACTGAGCCCTGTGACACCTTGATCCTGCCTTCCTGCCTCCAGAACAAGGTTGTTCTGCTTTCTAAGCCCCACCATTTGTGTTCCTCTGTTGTGGCAGCCACAGGAAGTTGGGACAGCATTCTCAGTCCTGCTACCAACAGAAAGGCTTTGGACAAGGTCGTCCACCTTCCTACCAATTCACTAAAGTGACCTGGGGAAGGACAGCCTGCCTCACTGCAGCCAGTGAAGCAAGGACCAGGTCCAGTGGTCAGCCCACAGCATGCTCAACCAACTAGTGCTGAAGTGGTGGTGGGGGGTGCACTCCATCAGCTCCCTGCCACCTGCACCAACCCCCAACATCTGGGCAGGGCCAGACTGAGTGGCCTCGTGAATATGAGTCTTTATTAAACAGGAGGAGGAAGACCCCCAAACCTGAAAATTCTGGGGTTCTTTTCTGTTGCAGTTTATGCCTTCTCCCCCAGCTCTGCCTCATCCTTACCAAAAGCAAAGCAAGGTCACTGCAGAAATGTCAGAAAAGCCAAGTAAGGCTTGGTATCCCATACCTGCTCCCAGTACAGATGCAGGTCCCCGCATTGGGTCACACCTGGGCACCCGCTAGCCACCCTGTGGTTACTGACTGTATGTCCTTAATAGTCCCTCCAACAGGAGCCTCTAGATGGTTTCCAACTTTCCCCCCATAAAACTTGCTCAAAGTTAGAACTGTTTCAGGAGGAGCCTCATTAAAAAAATGTAAAGTTTCAGAAGAAAGGGCCAAAAACGATCCCTCAACTGAAGAGAGTGCCCAGAAACACACTCAGAAGCCGGGGCCTGTGGGATGTTGGTTTCTACAGAACTGGCATCTCCTCTCACTCCACCGCTTAAGTTCTCCACGAAGTGTGTCGTGGGGAGGCCGGGGTCGGTACCCCAGCCCCAGCGGCCCAGCCCTTCCTCTGGTCAGGGGCGGGGCGGGGGGCAGTCAGCCAGGCCAGAACCAGTCTGAGACGCTGGGCACGCGGGCCTGGGCGCTGCCCTGGGAGAGCCCGTGAGTGTGCGGGGTAGGGTGGGGAAGGAAGAGGGGACTCCACGCTCCAAGTCCTGCAGGCAGGACGAGCCTGGGGACCTTGTGGGGTAGGCCTAGGCTAGGGGATCGCGGAGGTCGGCGGGGTCAGCGCGCATTCCTGCGAGTTGAGCTCAACCCGGGGTACCAGGGGGCGAGGGAGGACTCCTATCCACTGCCCAGGCCCCCGGGGTGCTGGGGAGGGGAGAGGGGTGCGCCCGAGTCGGGGGTAGGGGTCTGCACAGGTCAGGGATTGGGCGATTGGGGTGGAGAATGGACTGCGCAGGCGGGGGCGAAAGGGATGGCGCCCGGGTTGCATAGACAAACGCGCAGCAGCCAGCGTCCTCCACGTGGGCCTCGCGTGCCCCTGCCCCTTAAAGAGGCCGAAGGAACGCGGGCGCGCGCCCCGGTGACGTCACACGCCCTTATTTCCATGAGCGCGTGGGTCTAGGCGCCGCGTCCCCGGGACGGCCTCCGATTGGCCGTCGCTGGCGGCGCCGAATCCTAGCGGATTTGCGCCGCTCTGGTCCAATAGCAGCCCACTTTGCTCGAGGAGGGCGGTGACAGCGAACTCGGCCAATGGGCGGCGGCGTTGTTAGCGGACACGGCGGCGCAGTCCCGGAGCGAGCGAAGCCCAGACGGCTGCCGCTACTGCCGCAGGAGGCGTGAGGTGCGGCGGCGAGGGGGCTCGGCCGGGTAACGCGTCTGTGGGGGCCGGCGGGGCCGGGGCCGGGGCCGGGCTGGCGGGGGCCGCGCAGGGGGCCGTCTCGGGGAGCCGCGGCGCCAGGGGCGGGGCCGGGCCCAGAGCGCCCGGAGCGGGGAGCGGGCGGGCCGGAGCGGAGCCCGTGGGGAGGCGGGCGGGGCCCGGCAGGCGGCCGGGAGGCGGCGGCAGGTGTCCGCGCGGCCCGAGGGTCAGGAGCGCTTTGTGCCCGCGCGGCCCCCGCTAGCCCGCCCGCCCGCTGGCCCTGCGACGTCCCGGGGGAGGTTGAGGCTGCGGGCCGGGCCGCGAGCGCCCGGGGGAACGCGGAGCCGCCCGGGGCCTTTGTTTTCGGCCCCGGAGCCCTTCTCCGGGGCGGAGCGACCGCGATTCGCGGCCGCCGCGGACTCCGGGCCCGGGTTTGCTGGCGCGCGGCACTTTGAGTGACCCTGGCGGTCGTCGGGGCCGGGCGGCGCCGCGAACCGGACGGGCCGGCGCGGCCGCGTCATCCTGCAGGCGGAGAAGCGCGGCCGGCCGATGAGCCCGGCGCGTTCGGAGATGGTGAAGGCAGTCACAGCGGGGTGCCTGGCCGCGTTCCCCTCCCTCCCCAGTCTGGTTTCCCGAATGCTTTCTGTGCGTTCTAGCAGAGGGCTGCCCAGTCGCGATCAGACTTCCCCCCGTCCGCAGTGACTCCGAGTCTGGGTTCAGCATGAAGTCTTTTGGGCCCCGAAGAAGGTCGGATTCCTGGCCGGTTCGTGCCCGTACCCTCCCTTGTCTGCGGGCCTGTGGTTCATGTGGACCCCCCCGCCCCCGCCCTTACCTGTCCCGGTGGTTCAGTGATGAAGAACCCACCTGTCCGTGCAGCAGGCCCCAGTTGGATCCCTGGTCCGGAAGATCCCCTGAAGAAGGAAACGGGAACCTCCCTCCAGTTTTCTCATCTGGGAATTCCCACGGTCAGGGGAGCCTGGTGGGCCACAGTCCACGGGGTCGCAAAGAGTCGAGCACAACCAAGGCCCTGAACAACGACAGCAACGCTGCGAAGTATTAGAATAGGCACTTGAAAGTTCTCAGAATGAGTTGTTGAACGTAAAAGTTGTCTTTAAAATTGCTGTCTTGTTTTTAAAATAACTGTTCCTCTTAAGTGATGAATAGTTGTCCTACACACCAGGTCTCCAGGCCTACGTTGACTCATTTCAGAAGCCAGTGACTTTTGAGACAAGCGCTGTTCTTTTCCCTGTAACCAGTCAGGAAGCTCGAGGCCCTGAGAGGGTTAAGTGAAGAGGTGTGTGCAGGCTGACAGACCTTGGGTTAAAATGCAAGCAGTTTTGTTTAAAAAAAAAATTTTTTTTTTTAAATTTATTTAGGCCTACCATGCCTTCATTGCTGCACAAGGGCTTTCTCTAGTGAGGGGGGTGGGCGGGCTTCTCACTGCCCTGACTTATCTTGCTGTGGAGCTGGGGCTCTGGGCACACGCGCTTCCCAGGCTCCAGAGCACAGGCTCGGTGGTTGTTGCACACTGGCTTAGTTGCCTCACGACTTGTGGGATCTCCCCAGACCAGGGATTGAACCCGTGTCTCCTGCATTGGCAGGTGAATTCTTTACCAGTGAGCCACCTGGGAACTTTGCCTAACATTACAGCTTCTCTGTAGAGGGCATGAACAGTTTTAATAAGTTGTTTTTATTATTGCCCTGAGCCTAACTGAAGTCTGGCTTTTGAGGATTTAAGCTGGTTGATTATTTCCAGCTCCAGATTCTGTGATTCCACAGAATGCTAAGTGCTTTCCATAGTAGAATCTGGAAATGATTACGGACAGTGATTAATGATAGCTAGTGGGATAAATAATGTGCTAACGTAAAAAAGACTTTCCAGGAAAGAAAGGTGGTGTTACGAGTAGGAATATATTTAAAAGATTGAGGGCTGAAGTAGAGGAAGGTGGCTTAAACATTAGTGTTATCTATTGGTGGTTAACTTGTTAAGGTAGAGCTGCCAGGAGAAAGAAATGCTAGAAAATGAATTTTCTCAGTTTATTAGCTGCTTTTTTTTTTTAACTTGTTTTGTGACAGGGAAATTTTTTTTCTTTCATCTTTCGAAGGTATAGTATTGTATTTGTTCTGAGATTTGGAAGGATTGATTGAAGACTTGATCAATAAAAATACCATTGCAAGACTTAATTTCCTATAGAATTATAGTGACAAAGGGAGATCATTTTATAGGTAAAATGTGACTGTTTTAAGTTTATTTAGGAAAGCTTTCACTGGAAGTTTGAGGTCTCTTCTCATGGAATGATGAGAATAATTATTCTCAAAATAGTTATTTATAATTATATAAAATAATTTCAACACTGTAGTGCTGTCTTACACCTGTTACTACTTTGCAGTCTTTTTTTGACCCATGTTACTAATTCAGAATTTCCACTGTTATTTGTGCCTTTGTATTTCAGATTTACATCTAAATACTTTCGTGATTTTTGCATTATTTTGAAAATACTGTATAGAATAGTGATTGGAGAAGTTGAATTCTTTGCAATAGTTGATTTTATCACTTTTGGTTTGATAGGTTTAGTAAACTGAATTCTGGAAAGGATACTTAAGTTTTAGGATTGTTGCACTCTAAAAGTGTACAGATACTGTAGTTTTGTGAATTGACTATTTAGATTATCAGACCCTTCTGTGATATTTTCTGTTGAGAGATTTTAATCTGAGATCATGATTTTATAGAAATTGAGGGCTTAGAGTTGGTATGTGTTCATCAGTGCATTACAGCCTGTGAATTCTTGCTTGAATCTTACTATTTCCATTAACCTGTCAGGGTTTTTACTAGCTTCTTAATATTGAAAGCCTTATTAATTCCATGTCTGCAACTTCTGACCAACTAGGGTTGACATTGAAATCCTTTCTTTTTTTTTTTTTTTGAGCAAGTAAATAGTCTCCTAGCTTCAGGAGGTGTGACTTCAAATGTAAATCCATACATGGGCTAATAGAATTCAAAATTACTTACATTCAGTTACTTTTCTTCCTTTTTGTTTATTGTCCACAGTTTTAAAATGGTTTAAGATTGTTTTGATTGTGTTGTACTTTTTGAAAGTTTTGCCAGAGAACCAAGGGTGTTTTTTTTGTTTTTTTATATGTATAGTGTCTGTGGGCCAGTGGGTGGTTTAAATTCCCAAAGCCCTAAAGGGCCATCAACTCTATGAAACAGGGAAGAAACGGTGCTCTGAGTGATGGCATGTTTGAATAATAAGGCGATGTTGAGGAGCTTGTTAGGAGATTGGTCTGGTACTGCTGTTTGGAGAGTGCTTACTTTTTTGTTTTTTTAAAGGAAGAGGTGTTTAGGCGGCCAAAGTATTAGATTGGTGTAGAAGTAATTACGGTTTAGTATTAGGTTGGTGCAAAAGTAAGTATGGTTTTCATTGATGATGATGCTGTTTGATATTGGAATATATTCTAAAATAAATGTGGAATGTTATACATCATTTTAATGTGCATTTCTTGCTTTATGTTTTTTGCTGATGACTTGTGGTTTGTATTTAGGCTGTAGAAATATTAGATAAAAAGCAAATTCGAGAGTTTTTTTTTTTATTTGACTTCAAATGGGCTGTAAAGCAGCAGAGACAACTTGCAGCATCAACAACTAGGAAGTGCTAACGAGTACAGTGCATTGGTGGCTCAAGAAGTTTTGCAAAGGACACCAGAGCCTTGAAGATGAGGAGCGTAGTGGCCGGCCATTGAAAGTTGACGACTACAGTTGAGAGCATCATCAAAGCTGTTCCTCCTGCAACTACATGAGAAGTTGCTGAAGAGCCCAGCGTTGAGCGTACTGTAGTCGTTTGGCATTTGAAGCAAACTGGGAAGGTGAAAAAGCTCGTTAAATGGGGGCCTTGTGAGCTGATTGTAAATCAGAAAAATTGCAATTTTGATGTGTCGTCTTCTCATAATGTAACAACAACACACATTTCTTGATCAGATTGTGATGTGGGATGAAAAGTGGATTTTATGCAACTACTGGTGATGACCAGCTCAGTTGGTGAACTGAGAAGACTCCAGAGCCGGACTTGGACCAAAAAAGGGCCTGGTCACTGGTCTGTTGATCTGCTACAGCTTTCTGAATCCTGACCAAACCATTACATCTGTGCGGTATGCTCAGCAAATTGACGAGATGCACCAAAAACTGCAGTGGCTGCGGCTGGCGTTGGTCAACAGAATGGGCCCAATTCTTTTGCACAACAACTTCTCGCTTCATGTTACACAACCAACACTTCAGAAGTTGAACGAAATGGGCTACGAAGTTTTGCCTCGTCCACCGCATTCACCTGACCTCTGTCCAGGTGACTACCACTTCTTCACACATCTGGACAGCTTTTTGCAGGGAAAGCACTTTTACAGCCAGCAGGAGGCAGAAAGGGCTTTCCAAGAGTTGGTTAAATCCTGAACACAGATTTGTTTACTCTAGAGAAATAAACCAACTTTCTCATTGGCAAAAAGGAGTTGGTTGTAATGGTTCTTATTTTGATTCATAAAGATGTGTTTGAGCCTAGTTATAATGATTTAAAATTCAGGATCCAAAACATCAGTTACTTTTGTACCAACCTAATAAAAGGCTGATATTACTTAGACTGCTCTACCACTGGGGTGATTTCAGAAGTAGAAAGTAGCTGGTGCAGGGTTACTGCAGGAAATCGCTCTCCTCCAGCATTGCTTAATTTGCACACTGTCTCCTAGTTCAGTGAACACTTGCCTTCCTAAACTGCACTTGTGATATATTTTTTTCTTGAGCACTACCCTTACTAATGGGTAGTGAAGAATTTTGTGTTAGCCTGTTAATGGAGTTTTCAAGTAGTAGTTTATGATGCCGTGTATTTGTTTTTGTTTGACAGCCTTTGGTTTGTGCCCTGTTCTCTTCAGAGAAAGCAGGGCCACTTTACGTTGTTTGCCATTGAATTTTAAATTTCGTGAGTATTTAGTAATAGGAGAGGCAGTGTATTTCTATAGGGGCAAAACTACAA